GCGGCGGCGGGTGAGCGACTGACTTCAGACAAACTTCAGGCAACCGGCCGGGCAAGGGGATGAAGGGGCAGATACGACTCAGACAATATTCAGCCCACTGCCGGCATGGCCAGGGAAGGCGCTCCGACAAGAGTTAGATGTGTTTCAGCTAGTAGCCGCGGTGGCTAGGGCAGGAGTTCAGACAACTCTCAGACAAAGCGCAAGGTGCGCGGTGCGGCGCGCGGGCGGGTTGCTGGGGAAGAATTTTTCGAAATAATAGGGGGAAAAATAAGTTTTTCGCGTGTTTATTCACTCTAGCTCATGGAGATTTAGAGGCAGTGACAAGTATGTGTGTGTATCAACAGACATTTTAAAACAAACACAATGGAGGTCTTTCACAGGAACAATGTCAACTTGATCTGTTACAGAACAATACAATAATGAGAGCACACTGGCTCTAACTGGACTATCTACATGGAAAGGGTATGAGGTGACATACCGTTGAAGAACAGCAAAGGACTGTTGTTCTGTTCGAACAAAAACTTTGATACATCCAAAGAAGACTTGTCCCTGAAATGCATATTTCACATTAGAAGAGTCTCTAGCACCACGGGCGTAGTCCGCACAAACATATAAAAATCCATCCTTCTTGAGTCTAAAAAAAAAATCTGTTTGAATATTTGGGAAAGCTTGTTTTAAAATATGCAAAAATACTGGGTCTATTGAGTGCTTAGGTACAATCTTGCCTACTATATAAGTCACATCTCCAAGTTTTTCAGTCACAGCCAATCTGTTGCCATGTGACATAACAGAAAGGCAAAATGACTTTACATCAGCATTAAGAATAGTTTCAATTACTGAGGGTAAATTACGTAAAAGGCCTAAATTTGTTTGAATTTGGAGTCCTGCATAACGAGTGCCATGTACCAGCCTTGACAAAACACCATTTATATTTTCAAACGGGAAACAACTCGACACCCATAAAGGACCAAGTTGACAAACAACATCTGGGAGATGTAGGAGACAATGCAGGTTGTATGACATGTGACGCAAGCCAAATAAATCTTGCCACTGTTGAGCAAATGACTTCAAAAGCTGACGGGCCACTTCTACATCATTCTTTGAAACAGAACCTTGATTTAATAAACCAATAGCACATACAAGTTTCTTAAAGTGGCTTAGGTAAGGCTCTTTCATGTGTTTTTGAAATACTGGCAATGCAGTGCTAAATAACCAGACCCTAAACTCTGAAGCCTTAAAATAACTTAGATGTTTCAGGTCACGAGGGGGCCTGCCAAAATAATGAGGGGGGCTAAAACTACAAAACAGTGCACTCAAATTTTTTAACAAAGACTTCTTATCAATATTTTCCCCAAACACTAACTTAATGTGCTCAGCACTGACATACAGTTGGAAAATCTGGCGACAAATCCCTAAATACACACAATGCATAACATCCACAGCCGTAGAAGACAGGAAAAATGATGAAAGCATGTAAAATAAATAGGTTGGTCCTTTGATACCGTTCTCTTGGTCCCCAACATCTTCCTTGTACTGTTCTTGAGTTCTAGGGGGCAAATCCTCTTCATATGGGTAAACAAAAACATTTCCAGTGTCCTCTGACTTCTCTCCTTTGACATAACAAAGATGACACCCAAAGAAACCATTAAATTGATTCATACGCATGAAAACAGCTTTGGCGGGTGCATCACATGAACCACATACAATGTTGCATTTAATATTTACAGGAGAGTTTGAGTTTGGCAGAGTAACATCAATACCTGTTGTTCTCAACATTTTCACTTCCTCAAATATTGGTTTCATGAGAAGGTTTGGGTGAGGCTTTTCATAACCAAAGGCTATACCCCCCAAGAGAATGTTTTCTTCTTTGTAGCGCAAGTGAGGTGGAAGCTCATTTATCGAAAAATAAAATGGCCATACTTGAAAACTACTAGACTTGTAGAGAGATAGTCCATCAGTATTCCACATACATGTTATGTCAAGTGGTCCGATTGGTGAGTTGCTTTTGTAGATTTCCCCATCATAAATGTCTTCATAGTTCTCGGGATTTTGCCTCGGACGATGGTGGCGATAAGCTAACAAATCAGCAAAACCAGGTCTAGCATACAGTCTCTTTAGCTGGTCAGTGAGAGGAGCATGGATGTAAAATCCAACTTTAGTTTCAGATTTACAAGTTGAGCATAGTGAATCCTTACTTTCAAGGCTCTGACAGCAAGTACTACAAAAATATATAAGATTCAAAGGTGTTTTGATATCCTCAAAATGTTTGTAAAAGTTAAACATTGATTTGAAAAGGTTATGATTCACTGGCAGGAGAAGATTCAGTAAAGAGAGCAAATGACTAAACACCTGACCACTAATTTTACACCCAAGCAAAAATGATAGTAGCGCTGTGGCTGCATCGTGAAGTGACACAGTAGCTCCCTCATACAGAGGAACATCAGCGCCTGGTTGGTAGGGGTGAGAAGATGAAGCAGGCATTGAAGATTCAAAAGCATCAGTTTCATGAAACCCAGGTAAATTGCCATCCTCTATGTCCTCTTGAAGTTGATGTGAAACAGGATCCTCTTGCTCACAAAAACTGTTGTCTGAACAGACAAAGTAATCAAAGGCATCATGAAATGTATGGTCATCATCATGAACACCTGCAAAGACATAACTAGTTTAAATTTCACTGTTCAAAAAAAATAATAATATTATAATTAAAATTTCTAATAGATATTTGTTAGTTTAAGAGAAAAATGAAGAAAATTCACACACCTTCCTGTGCCTCAAAAGCCTCCATGGGGTCATCAGAGATGCAGTCTGGTGCAGTAGGGAAAGGCACTGTATTGAAAAAAATATATATTATTATTAAACCATCTGGAAACTGTACAAATTGACAGAGAAGGTGAAAAAATACTCACATGACACTGTTGGTGTTTCTAGAACCGGAGTGGAATTAACAAGATCAGCTGATGGTAAGGTTAAGGAAATGGCTGCAAAAATAAAAATATTTTTTTTAGATATTTGACAGAAAATAACCCTTTTTAAAAAAAGGTGGGGGGGGGGAGCAATTATAAATACACAGTTACACCACACGCTGTTAGGGAGAAAAACAAACAACTAATTACCATCCAGATCCATGGAGAGAGAACTGGGAGCAGGTGTTGTACATATTTCAACATCAGCATCAGGCTCCAGATGTGACAAGTTTGATGCTGCACCTGGCGACACTAAATGAAAAGAAGCCGTTGTTAGTATTATAACTCTTGTGCTGAAAGTTACCATAAGTACACAGTGAATAATATTTACCTTTGAGGGTAGCAGTTCGTGATACAGAAGGCAGTAGTGTCTCTTGTACTACATCTTCCGGGACTGGCAAAGAAGCAAATTCGGGAAACTTTGGTGTTACATGTCCCATATCAGGTAACAGCATCGTTGGTGATTCCATACACCCAACAGGTAAGACGATGTGGGACTGATCGTAAACTGTGCACAAGCAAAACAAACAAAAATAAAATGCGCACTAACCATTTGTTCCTCCTGATTTCAATACAAGTACCACAGTAACATACCTGCTTGCGGTGGTGGAGGCAGCACAGGTGTGGGATCAAATCCAACATGGTGTTCTGATGAGATATCATGGATGGGAAGATTTAAATCATGTTCAGGCAATGGCAGCCCAGTGCCAACATCTTGATCATTTATACGCTCCCTGTTAAAAAAGCAGACATCACATGTCGGAATTCAACTTTAAAATTGTGAAATTGGAAAGTAAAACTATCTGTGTTCTAGAAGTGCTTTGAACAGAGACTGCTTGACACCTTCTTTTGAGGTTAGAATCCTTGCATATCACAGATTTACTTACTCGGGGTCCGTAGGCTCGCGTCGATCAACTCTTGGCCGTTTTGACATACTTTATTTCTTTACGGGTCGTTAGAGCACACAACAAATATAAGGGCACACAAAATTAACAAAACAATACCGTAGAAGATTTCACCGGCGTTTCACGTTAGCACGGCCTTTGGTGTCATTCGGAAGGTTCTGTTGGCCACGGGCACCAACATTGTCGGGCGAGTCCACCCGCGGCCATCAGCTCTTCCCGGCCCGCTTTTCATTGTTTACTCAACGTGGATACACAGCGCAGCTCAATCGTTCAAGAATTTTTTTGTGGAAGATTCCTGGTGCCTTGGTTTTCCTTTTCTTGTGAGTAAGTAACCATGTGTACTCGTGTGGAGGTTGGCGAAACTTTGTGGTTCATTGAATGTTGTGTTGTGGTTTGCAAAGTGAGCAAACAACAAGTAGTCATTTTCCGTGTCCTAAACTTCGTGCTGTGTGTGTGTGCTCCAGCTGAAAATGGCACCCACGGTTCCGTCAGGTCGGGGTCGGGGTATCAAAACGAAACCTAGAGGGCCCCGAGTCACAAAATTCGCCCTCATCCTGTGGAAGGATTGTGCGGAGCCATGCGCGGACGTCGTGCACATCAAAAAGATATCCGCGGGTGATGGTGTCAACGGGAACCAGCCGCGGCCCAACCTGCAACCCGGCATGGTTGTCACCGTATCGTGGTTCAAAGATGCAGAGAAGCAAGGACAAATCATCCAGTTGGGTGAGTGATTGCAGATTGCATAGCACACTTACAGGGTTTGCTTTACACTAGCTGCCCCATACTACTGTACGTAAAAAGCTCTCGGTGCCGTCGGTGTTCTCGCGCCCCTTTAATGCTGTGCGTGAAAATTTGCTTTGCCATCACTTGTGTTATACTGTGCTTATCATACTGCTACAGGAGCTGAGCGACCCCTAAAAAAGGTCTGCATCGATGAGAATGGGAATGTAAACGCCGCCGGAGTACGACTCCTCGGGCGAAGGGAGTGTGAGATGCGCCAGACCATTCGCCATCGACGGGGTGCCGTTCAGAGCGCAGCCGACGCACAGCTTCTTCAGACTGTCAATGGTGAGAAACTTTTAACCTGCGTCCCTCGTAAGAATTCTCTTACGGGCGG